CGGGTGTCGTGCGTGCGACAGCGAAGCGCCCTAACCGCTACACCACAGACACTAGTTTTAAAGTTTTAAAGTTTACTTTCACGAGGGTGCCTGCCTACCTTTCAACACTTCATTCCTATTGTCATTGTTGTTGCTGTTGCTTTTGTTGTTGTTGTTGTCATTTTATACTGCAGTTACTGTTATGTCGTCTTTAGTGTTGTTCTCACAGCTCTTGTCTATGATGATGAAGATGATGACAATGATGATGCTGATGATAATGATGATGCTGATGATGCTGATGATGATGATGATGATGATGATGATGATGATGATGATGATGATGATGATGGATGATGAAAGATGATGATGATGATGATGATGATGAATCTACGTACTATTTTATCGTAAGTGAACGCCTTTCTTTACATAGTATAGGAGGGGTTTTTTAAAATAAATATTACCGGGAAAGCCCAACTAGTGAAAGGTTGTACAACATCTTTTAATAATAACATAACATTATGTTAAAACGTCCTGTTTGTGTTCTTGCTTTTATTTTTGTTTCGGTTTGGTTTGTTTTGATGATGATGATGATGATGATGATGATGATGAGGATGATGATGATGATGATGATGATGATGATGATGATGATGATGATGATGATGAGTACAATGATAATGGTGTTGGTGGTTGTGAAGGTCTAGCTCCAAATATTCCTCTACTCTCTGTATCTGTCTTGTACTGACTTTTACTTACTTTTTTTCCGACCAGTGCTACTTTACGGTGTCGAGAGGAGAAGCAAATGTCTTTCCTTTGCTGTACCGACTGACGCATGGTTATGTTGTTCTTGAGCAATGCCTCTCGATCCCCATCCATCCATCTTTTCCTGGGCCAGCCTTTCCTCTGTTTTCATCGGATTTCTGGTTGCCTGCTCTTTCTGCTATACTGCATGGTGGTAGTCTTGACAGACCTATATTTCAGCATTCGTTATTTGATGATCTTTTCATACAAATTATGAGTCCGCGTGTCTTATCGTTGACTGCCTTTTCTTGAAAGCAAACACAGGCTTTTACGCCCCCATCAACACACGTTAGGCCATTTAGGAGGCGGGCTTACAGCCCTGTCTACAATCAGGGCCAACCTGGTCTGAGAAGGATACAACATCCCAGCTGAAAGACCCGGAGACACTCTATATAAAAATGTTCCCCAATCAGGAATAGAGCTCGATTCTCCTGCGTGCGACAGCGAAGCGCTTAACCATTTCGCTACTCAGGCATCAGAAAATTGAGGCTGGTTTTGATCCTGCCTGTCAGGGCCAACCTAGGCTGAAAGGGACACATCATCCCAATAGAAATACCACTTCTGCGTGCGATGTCAAAGCGCATTACCACAAAACCACAGACACAGGTATGCATACATGTCTACAATATTATTGTTATACTTAGTCGCATTATCGCATTAAAGTACACTTCTGAATGAGCCTTCAGCCCTTTCATTCTACTTCTTCTTTTTATGAGAAGACACTCGGGACCTAAACCTGAAAAAAAATGCTTCGTCATGCGCTGTCATTTCGTCAGGTAATCTGGGTCATGGAATGGGGGGTCCGTTTTTGTGTATGTTGCACGCCTATAATTGAGTTCTGAGCGAAGGTACCGGCGTTTGTGGTGAAACGGTCAGGAACGCCAGTGGGAATTTTTCCTATGTCTGTGCTTAATATATCAATTGTAAGTCATCGTGGTAAAATCAGACGCTCGTCAAAATACTGAAATCGAAGAAACGAGTATTATTCTGCAAATCTGGAAAATGCTTATGGATTTTTTAATTATTTTTTTTTGGGGGGGGGTGGAACTTCACCACCTTTTATGTCCATATAAAAACACATTTCCATGTGAATTTTACTCAAAATATTGATTAAAGTGACAAAATATGTACATTTTCAGTTTTAAAAAGCTCTCTCTCTCTCTCTCTCTCTCTCTCTCTCTCTCTCTTTCTCTCTCTCTCTCTCTCTCTCTCTCTCTTTCTGTATGTACGTGTGTGTGTGTGTTTGTGTGTGTGTGTGGGTGTGTTTTTTTGTGTATGTGTATGTGTGCGTGTGTGTGCGCGTCTGCGTGTGTATATACGAGTCTATGCGTGTGTGTATGCGTGTTTCTATCTCAATTTATCTCTCTCTGCCCCTTCCCACAAGTGTTTCCCCCCCCCCCCTCTCTCTCAGTCTCTCAGAA